ATCTTACTGTGACAACTCACCATTGTTGATGACGCTTTCACCTCCCGTCCTTACAATATTTTTATGCGAACACATTTTATCTTTTTATTTTTCTCCTGGCCTCCAGAAGTCATAATCTGAATTTTATTTCTCAAACTAGAGAAGGCTTGCATTATACCTTTTAAAGGCCACTTAATCCTTTTAAACGCTCATTTTTAGGCATTTTTCAATCCCTGGAAAAATTAATATAATGACACAGTGAATGTGAACCCTCCCTTTTCTACTAAATCTAGGACCAGACTTACAGTCTAAATAACTTGGTATTTTTATTGTTTTCTCCTTCACTCTCCCCAGGTTTATTGCAGTTTCTAATTCAAGTTCACTGTGATAGCCAGAAACTAGACTACTACATTTTCAAGGGGATTTCTCTATGTGTACTGACCCTGAAGCTTAGAAGTGTGAACCACAAAGAAATATACATAATGAAACTTTCAAAGAAAAAATTTATATAGTTTTATTGGGCTTTTTGAATATATCCACCCCTGTGGTGAAAGATGATTACCCTCCTAGGGAAACTGCTTAAAAACAAAAAAGTGGAAAAGATAACATTCCTAGTCTGACTCTCTATATGGCAGATCTAAATCACATGCATTAAGTAGTTTGGAAAGTAAAATACTTATTCATTATAGAACATGAAAAGGATCCATTTTGCCAAGAGTAGTTTATAAAATGGAAGGAAATGTTTCCAGTGGTTTGGAAAACGCACAAGCTTGCAGAGTCTGGAAGGGTTTGTAAAGATCATTGGTCCCGGTGTCAGTGGTCTTCAAGGCATGATCCTGGCTCCTGGGTCCTGTGGGGGCACTTCCAGGGGCAGTGCTGGACAGGGAATGGTGGGGAGCCCACCTCACTCCAAACCAAACAGCTCTACATTCATCTCCTCCACAATCAGGCTTTCCTGTTTTATACAAAAGAAACTTCCCTGCAGCTGAAAAAAAAAGTCTACAAGGGACTGATAGAGTCCGACTACCCAAATGATTTCTGAATGCCTTCTGTAGACAGATTAATCAGAAATTCCAATAAGCGCCTAGGTCTGTGTGGTTCCCAATGTTGTTGTGATCCTAATGTGTAACTACAGTAAAGTGTGTTTAAGGAGCTGTTACTAGTGGAGCAGTGTACACAGAAGACCCCAGGATGTGTTGGAAATTAGAATGTTCTGAACATATTCCTTCACCCCAGGGGTGGACACAGGTAATGCATTTCTCATTGGGTGTGAAATCTGATGGCAGTAGAATTACTGGAAGTCTTTGTGAAGTGGTAATTTTAGGTTTGACTATTGTGACAGCAGGTGGAGCTAGTTGTGGGAACGCTGTTTCTAAGGCTTTTAAAGAGCAGCACGATGTATAAAACTTAGACTAATGTGTTTGCACGTCAGAGCTTTAGGAATAGCAAACTATTATGCATTGGCTTTGGAAAGTGATCATGTTACGACAATGTGAGAGCCAAGCTGAATGAAAACTTCTCTATCCTTTTTAGAGAAGGGGCTTGCATTTGCATTTAATGCGTTTGCTTGTGTGTTATCATGGAAGATTAAGACAAATTAAGGGCGGGGGGGGGGGGGCAGTGGGGATGTGTTTACATAGCTTAACATTACTTGATAACCCTTAGAGGATTCACTTTAAAAAATAAGATATGCTTCTGTTTCTCTTCAGATGGAATGAATCTTTTTCCTTTTAAAAAATAAAGTATATGATCCTGCAGGAAAACAGTGTGAAAGAACTTGAGTATATATAGAGAGTTATTTTGTATTATTAGATTGTTTCTCTTTTTAAGTAGTAATAAACACATGGTTGAAATCCACATACATTTTCTCCTAGGAAAAACTGAAAAACGTTTGCTTTTTATCCTACAAGATTATGAAATAAAGATTTGACTACTTTATAGCTCCAAATACCAATGAGTTTTCTGAATATATAATTTAAAAGATATCACCACTCATGGTCTTTCTTTTTCTTGTGAATCACACATTGAACCATGGAATTGTGCTTTTTTTTCCTTATCGTTTCCCTATATCAGATGCAGTGATAAATAAAGAGCAAATATTATGCAAGCATTCCTTTCCCTCTGAATTTTGTCTGCTTGTTTTTTACTATATCATATGTATTAAGAAATTGAGGTTTCTAAAATGATGATTTATTTTGCTCACTGTATGAGTAAAAAGTGACCTGCTTTTTGGCATTAGTTTACAGTTTTAAGATCACTTAAAACACATTTTAAATCTTGTTGCTGAAATCTAGAAATAACATCTTCCTATTATTTTATTTACTTATTCAACAAGTATGTAATGAATGCCTCCTGCGTGCAAGGTATCATGCTAAACACTGGGGATACAATTTTGAACAATTTATAATGCTTTCCCTCAGCGTGTCTCAGGCAGACAAGTGGCCAAATAATTACCATACCCCATAGATTCTATGGTTGTGTTATGAACAGAGGGCTGTTGGGTCACAGGAAAGGGACTCAGCTGGGAGAAATCAGGGAAGCCTTCACAGAAGAGGTAATGCCCTAGTTGCATCTGGAAGGAGAGATGTGCAAATTCACTAGTGAGAGAAAGCACATTCCAGGCAATGTGCCCAACGCGTGCGAAGGCATGGAGGTACAATAGGGCCTATTGTCCTGGGGAAGCATCGGGAAGTTGCTAGCAAGGCTGGAAAGGTAGACTGAAGCAAGATTGTGAAGGACCTCGTAGGATGTGCCAGGATCAGTGAAGATACTATTCAAGAATTTCAACTAGTCTAGATGCTGTGTAATTGATTAGCTTTTGATGTTCATTAAACTAAAGTTATGGATTTGATCCTGTGGAAACATGGCCTGGTGACTTCAATTTTAACCTCAGCTACAGTTTTAGATATGTTCTCTGGTCATAAGGGTGATTTGATGAGAATGAAACTGCATCAATACATATCTTTAACTACTTTGGGCAAAAAATGCTACATAGACTAATTTGATGTGATACATATTTATTGAGCACGTGCCAAGCACTGTGGTAGGTGGGAGGAGATATGCCCTGTGGCCTAGTGTATCCAGCTGCCTTCCAGACTTTTGCTCTTGGTTGTCTTCAAAGCACTGAACAGTTATCACATCCAAATCCAACTCCTCATCTCACCCCAAATCCTGCTCTTCCCTTAGGCTGTCTCATCTCTTTAAATGATTCCTCAAACCACCTAGTGCTCAAGCCAGAGCCTGGGGGTTCTTCTTCACCCCTCATCTATTCTGAGATAGATCTGGAAACCTTCCACTCCTCTCCGTTCCTACTGCCAGCACCCTAGCAACTGCGTCTCTTGCCAGTACCTTCCTCACTGGTCTCCCTTTTTACATTTTTCCTTTCTCCTCAATCCTTTTTCAAGACAATAGCCAGAATGATCTTTTAAAAATCTAAATCAGGTTGTGTTACTTTCCAATTCAAACCTCATATTGACTTCCTATCGCAGCTTAAACCTAAATTATTTCCTGTGGCCCCCAGGGCCTGTGCATTCTGGCCCTGCCCATCTCACCAATCCTGCCCTGTGTTGCTCTCTCTCTCACTATCTGCCAGCCACTATCCTGTTTTTCATTTCTCCTCCTTCCCACCCCATGTGGCCTTGGCACATGCTGTTTCCACTGCCTGGAATGATTTTCTTCCCATCCTTTAGCCAGTTGGTATCTTCTCGTCATTTAAGTCTTAGCTTAAATATTACCTCCTCTAAGAGATCTCTCCTTCACCACAGTCCACTCTGCAGGAGGATTCCTGTGATGCTCTTTCCCAGTCTTCTGTTTCTCCCCTCATTGCACATGCCACAATTCATGATTATGTGTGTGTTTGCAGTTGAACCTCTGTGATCACTGTCTCCCCCACTAGACCAGGAATTCCCTTGGTATCATGCTAATCTGGAATTGTGTGTGTTCTCTTTTCCCCTCTATTTCCAGAGCCAAACACAGTGCCTGGCACGCAGTGGATCTTAAAGATTTGTAAAAGAATCATTTAAATACATGAAGATAGATTAACTTTTTTAGTTTCTAATTCTTTAACTACAATAAGAAAAACATGGAAAATTAAGAAAACTATTTTCTACATTTTTTTTAACCATTGGAATGATTTTAGGAAAGGCATACAGCTCAGCATTACCTCACCAAAAGGAAAAGGGTGCAAGTTCTTAAAAATTAGCATGTGGTTATTGCATGATTTGGGACTATTTTTAAAACAAGGATGCGTTTTTTAATGGAAATCCTGAGTTATAAAAATGAGTTGCTCTTTTTATATATTTAGGGCTCAATTCACCAAAATGTTTAAATTCTTGGCTCTGCTCTCTAAACCTGCTACAAAGATCACATTAGAATTCATTTTAATAGACACTGTAAGCACAGTATCCAATCTCATATGATCATGCTGGGCTCTTTTATTATGAGAATCACAGGAAGCAGAGCCCGAGGCTGCAGAACAGTGGTGGGGTATACCCAAGACTGGGGACAGTGCCAGCTCTATTGTTTATGGGATATTCTCTCCACCTTTATCTGTGGCGTGCAACTGGTATTGACTTTTGAGAAACTACTTCTTCACCCCGGTCTCCCAGTTGGAAAAAACCCTGCCGTAATGACATCTGGCTAGGAAAAAAGGGATCAAGGAAGCATAAGGAAAGAAAAATGATGAGACCTTATTTAATAAGTAGTTACAGGCCTGTCTGTAGGATCTGTTAGGGGGAAAACTGTTACACTTTTTCAAGGTCACCATTCCTTTATCCCCTGGAAAAGCTCAGTGAACTCCAGCAGTCTATTATTCTTGCGATCGATTGCTGTGCATTGGGTCTACTTAGCATGCAGCAAAATGTCTTTTTGACTTTATAGATCTTCAAGAATGAGTGCTGTTTGCCAAAATTATGGTAAAATTTGTTTGTGATATGTATCACTTTCCATTTATGTTTTGGTTTTTTTTTTCTTATAGAGGAAGACAGTCATTTTTGGCAAATTGTTTTTTTCCTAACTTTTAGGTATATTACTAGGGGAGTTTTTAAATATTGTAAGGAAAAAGAAGGAAGCTCAACTATATCGGAATGAAATAAGACACATCTTCACAGCTTTTGACAGGCACTGTAAGTATCTTTAAACTGTTTTGATATTAAAAAAATTACTGTTAAGGAGCTGAGAATGGGAACATAAACTCAGTAAATAAGATAATCAGTATACCTGGGAGATTACTTTTCTGTATTCGTTAGCTATTACCTTAGGTGTTGGTGCAAATTTTTTTTCTCCATCATAATCTTAAAGTCTTGACTTTTACCGTGGATGAGATATTTACAGTTAGATAATTGTACTTATGATTTGCCTGTGTTGTAATGGGGACAGTAAAAGGGCTGGCCCTATGGGGATGTAGGTCGTGAACCACCTACGGAAGTGTGGGAGGCCATGTGGCTTTTTCCTTTGAGTCCTGCTTTGACTCACACATGTTTGGAGAAGGTGTATTCCCACACCAGGTATGGCTGAAAGGAATAGCTTTGGACCCCCTACACCCCACAGATCACATACAGGATGAAAAGACTCATGGAGTCCAGGTTCAGTGTCTTGGCTGCTGTCATTATTTCCCTCTAAATACTAATATGTTATAATTCTAACATCAAGAAAAAACCTGAATTTCAAAGAATAAATTGTTTTGGCAATTTGCAAAGACTTGGAGTCTAATGGCGTTATTGCAATATATGTCTCTAGAGTCCTTTCCCTGGACTCAGAGAACCAGCCAAATGATAAGGCTGGAAGTGACCTTCGAGATCATCTGGGACCGTACTAAAGGAGAGTAGTACTAGATTCTCAAATTCTTCCAATGAGACAATCTCAAATTACCTTATCTGTAAAATCAACTAAAAATGACTGCTTTTCTCCTAGTAACATATTAAAGTTTCACACACATATTATCACTGAAATAATTCATAGGGTATAAAGAAGTAAGTGAATGTTTTATATTTTGTTTCCAAATAGATCGTGGATATTTAACTTTGGAAGATTTCCAAAAAGCATTTAAGCGAGTGGCTCCCAAGTTACCAGAAAGGATTATTCTCGAGGTATTCAGGTGAGGCGCCAAAATCTCGATGTACACCCATGCCCTGATTTACTGTTCACTTTTACAAGTTTTCAGTCTTCTGGACAATACTTATTTATGCAGATTTTTCACTAATGAACTTTTCATCTCATAGTATATTGTCATGGTCCAGGTGAGAAATTCATGGTTAGCTATTAGTCCATCTATACCCTTGACAGTGGAGTGCCTGCACACCAGGGAGGTGTGTAAAAACATTTGTTGGTAGGAGTGGGACAGGAGCAGGAAGAAAGCAGAACGTCTGCTTGTATTTATGTATTGGCCAAAAAAAAGAAGAAGCTTTATTAATATTTAGCATGGATGCTGGTGTTCTCCATGGTCTGTATGTCATCAGACACAGGCTACACATGGTTCTTGAATTGTCTGGAAAGAAGAGTTGAGGTTGCTTAATGGTGGCCCCCTCGTTCATTTGCTTTCAAAGTTACTGATACATGTTGCAGTTCACTCCTATCTGATAAAGTAGATTTAAAGCTTATATTGTTTTTATAAACTAATCCTGACAAAATGGGCAAGTGGCTTAAAAGGAGTTTCTGTTAGGAAACTACTGATTGAAGGTAATATGAATAGTGCAAACACATGCTGACGTGAGAAAATGGCAGAGCTGACTCTTCTCTGACTCTTAGCATTAGCTCTTCATCAGCCCTGTAACCAGGTGTATTAATTAGGGTTCAGTATAGTAGCAAAAGACAGAAAACCCAGAATACCAAAGTTCAAAAAAGAGAGCAATGTACTTCTCTCTCCCATAAACACAGGCAGTCTAGGGCTAATTTGATGGCAACACAGTCACGAAGGACCTGATTTCCTCCTTGTTCTGGCTTCCTCAACACCTGGCTTCTCCTTCTTGCTTCAAGATGGTTGCTTAGGTTTCGGCCATCACATCTGAATTCTGGCTAGGTAGGAGGAAAGGGAGCGGAAGATATGCCTCTCCTTTTAAGGCTATCCATTATTTCTGCTTACATCCCAGTGACCAAAACTTAGTTCCAAGGCCATGTGTCCCTGTAAGTGGGGTGGGGGCTGGAAAATGTGGTCTTTGCTCTGGGCAGCCATGTGTGCTCCAATGGAGTTTTCGGTACTGAGGAAGAAGGAGAGAATGGATAGTGGGGGACATCTGGCAGGTGTTCCCATTTGGGATAAAAGTAATTTAATGAAATCTGACCAGAAACCAGCCCTGTCCAGAAGAAATTATCAAGCAGGTTATTTGCAATAAGGATTTGCACTCACTGTCATTAACAGTGACGTGTATGAGATTCCTTTGCTGCATCATTCACAAGCAAGTTATTGAGCAAGCTACTGAAGGAGAGCACAGAAATTAAAGCCAGATGCAGACAGAGTGCTAGAGGACAGTATTACTTAGTTGATTGTGGAACAGCAAGGCCTTTAAAATACAGTAGCATTGGGCCAGCCCTGGTGGGCTAGTGGTTAAATTTGGCGCGCTCCACTGCAGCAGCTCGGCTTCGATTCCCGGGTGTGGACCTACCAGTTGTCTGCCAGTGACCGTGCTGTCACGGTGCTCACATACAAAAAGAGGAAGATTGACAACAGATGTTAGCTCAGGGTTAATCTTCCTCAGCAAAGAAAAAGCAAAACAAAACAGTAGCATCTTTGTATACACTTTGTGATAAGATGAGTGGTGAATGTCAATGTAGTTCTATGTTGCCGTTTTTAACAAAAGAACAAAGAATTGTTACTTGTTTTCCTTTTACAAAAAGACAAGTGTCCAAATTTGTTGACCTTCATGTGTTAAACGGTTTCAGTAGGTACTACCTCATAGACATTTTTGAAAAATACACTTAAATATAGCCCTTCAGGGTAGAAGCAGTGTTTTAACAATGAGTGAGGAAGTAACTGCGTCTCAAGAAAAACTCATGCCACCAGGAGAACATTTTTGAAAATGAGTGTTTGGAAATGTGATTCTGTTTTAAAAAATGATGTGTGTCACCTATTAAAACCTTTCACATCTGCATGTTGAATAAGTTGAAAATGGAATGTCCTAACCTGGTGAAAAAAATCTTACAAAGTTTCAGTGGTTTTAGAACACAAGCTTTGAAAATATAAAAATGCAATAACTTTAACAAGTTTTCAAGAGCAACTAATTGATATCGGGAGAGATGGATGTTTACTAGTTGAAATTTTTTTAGCAATAACTACAAAATAATAATTAAAAAACAACCCCCCTAAACCTCTCGTTATCGGAGAATGGAATTAGAAAGCAAAGGATTCAGCCCTGTTGCCCTCTTCCTGTTTAGATCTACAAATCTTCATGAGGCGTCTCTGACAGCCATTGAAACCAAGTGTGTATTAAAACAAACTGAACTTTAAATTGCTCAGTCGCAAAGGATTAAACCAACATGTTCCGAAATAAGAAAGTCTATCAAATCACGGTGTTCTTGTTAAATATTATTAATTATTTCTAGTGATGGCAAAAGTCATTTGCCATTAACAAGTAAAATATTTGTCTTTGATTCTTTAGAAATTTCTGTTCTATTTTATAATGTACATAGTATGTTAGTATAGTACCACATGTGCATATAATCTATAAATAAAGATATTCATATGCCCACCAATCTTGCACTTCCCAGGACTGTGTGATCAAAACAGTTGGGAGACCACTGCAGTATGCAGCCAAATCAGGCATTTTAGTTAATTAAACCCACCCTGTTTAAACTTTCATTTGTATTATTACTTATAGCACCACAATCCCTAAACCAGGATAAATGATGCATAGGTATTAAATGAAGTTATGAAACCAAAAAAGGAGAGAAAAATATTTCCTCTGAGTGTAAATTGAAGCAGGCTGAAGAAACAGAGATGTCTAACTTCCACACATCTCCGATTCTGTGGTGCAAACAATTTTCAAGAATGAGGAAAAGAAAATCAGGTGCTGAGGATGTTAAGTGATGCAGAATTACATAACATTTCCAAGGTCAGACACTCACTTTTTGAGAAGCTTGAGTAACATTTGACTTAATTGAGAGTGTGAGTGGAGTTCATGACCCAGGTCCACAGTGACCCAGGGGAGAGCTGGTGTTTGAAGACCACCCTAAGAACACAGCTAGAGGGGGAGACTTCTCATTCAACCAGAGTCATCTGTGGTTGAACAAATGAAGAAGTTTTCATAATCTTCAATTCTGTGCCTGCCAGATTCTTCCCCAAGAAACTTCTGGAGATCGAGAGTAGTTGCTTTCAGCACTTGCCCATGTTACACTTTCATTTACAAGCCAACCACAACAATAAAACCAACCAAACAACCAAAACAAACAATCCAACAAGAAAGACTTGGGGCAGAAGGCATCAATAAAATCATCTCATTTTAGAACATGATGGAAACACTGGTGTATCATTCATTAAATCTGAGGGCATTACAAGAACTAAATGAGATATATTTATAAGGTTTGTGAATTGTTGCCTAACTACCCTGGCGATGTTTACTGTACTGATTTTATGGTGAATAAAAGCAGTGTGGTTTTTAAAAATATATGTTGTCAGGGTTTATAACATTCACATTTTGTCCTGCAATCATAATGTCGCTGGTTTTAGTCTTAGTTCTCCAGTTATATGGATTCAAAGCTCACCTCCAGACCTCATGCCATAGTTTCTACTGAGCTTAAGTTTATCCTTGGCAGGGGTCATAAGAATTACTCCCTGGTGTCTTTCAAGTTCAGAAATGTTTATCTGGGCCATTGTCCTTGAATAAAAGCTTATGATGGGTTGAATGTTAACATTTTCAAGTCCCTTTCTTTTTCTTTGAGAATGCTGGTTATGCTTATGTTGGAAGTCCTTTTAAATTTTTTGTTAATTTCTATTTCATTTGCTTACTTTGCTCATGTCTCTTAGTATGTTTTCAGCAATGTCTGTTCTCCTTTGTGCTACATCCAGTGTGGCTTTTTTTTTTTCCTGTCATGGTTTTAGTTTCCTCTTACATTTCTTTCTTGAGCTACATCTGCTGCTGTTTCATTTCCTCTTGTAATTTTGCTGTAATATGTTATTTTATAGTGTCTCCCCTAAGCCTTTCTATATATGCTTTCAACTCTTGTTTTATAGAGGTGTTTGCTTTATTAGGGGAAGCAATGATTTTTGAGATTTTATTTTTAGTGGGTCATTGCTTGGGGGCTGCTAATTATAGATTTTCTCGTGTAAATTAAAGAAACAAGTTTTCTACCAAAGGAAGGGTTTTAAGGAACAAGTTACCTTCTTAAACCAAGAGATAATATGTTACGTAAAAAACAAAGACAAAAATTGGTACTAGCTTATATTGTCTCTAAAGATATCATAAAATGTTTAATATTTGGATTTCAAAATTTGAGATTCCTTTCAATGTTTGAAACTTTGCTTTCCACTTAGAGCTGATGATCATGATTTGGGTATCTGTGTAGTAAAATGACTGAATCTATATCCAAGATGATATTTCATTATTATTCAGAAGTTCTTAGGGAATTCTTTTCTTGAAGATCTTTTCTTTCTCCCTACCCACTACAAAAGGCAGAAGTTCAAGAGGTGTGAGAACCGAATGGTACTGTTTGTACAATGGGATGAATGTGAGATAATAGGCTGTTTCTAGCACTAAACGGTTAAAACAAAAAACATTTTTACTCTTTAATACTAATAGAACTTACTGTAAACTTTATAGTGCTATCTTTTAAAAATTTTTTAACATTCAGAAATCTTCAGTGCCTTTAATAGGTAAAGTTAAAACTGTCAAACCTGGCTCTCCAACATCTGGTCCCCTTTTCAAACTCATCTTTCATTAGTCCCGAATTTCTGTGTTTCCCTTGGCGTAATGCTTGTTCCTTTGAGTGTGTGATGTGTATTTAAACTTTGTTTCCCCTGCTGGCAGTGCCATTCTCTACCCCCACCTGTCCAAATTAGACCTGTCTTTCAAGGTCCTGCTCAATAAAGCCTTTTTTCTTTACATTGAACAGTCTTGTCTTCTTTCCCTAAATGTTGCTAGTATTTATGGTTGTGTATTTCTTTCAGTCACTTACTTGATAAAAATAGTGTTTAGGATTATCTCCATAAAATACTACAAGCTCTTTGCATTTATGAGCTTATCTCTAACTTCCACTGTCCCCAGCATGTTGCCTTGTGCATTTTAAGTTACTTAATAAATAATTGTTGGTCCATTGTCATGTAATCCAAATACCCAGTGACAGTAAAATTCTCACTTAACGTTTTCTTTATGGTTTAATTTACTTCTTATAAACTAGGAAAAAGTACTTTAAAATGCAACCAGGAGCTTTATAACTACATGTGGCTTTGCCTTCCATTTTTCTTTTTCCACATGTGATTTTCATGAATTAATCTCTAATGGCCTCTCTCTGCTTTATGTTGGGGGCATTTTCAGTTCATGATTCAGCTTCAGCTGTCATCAGGGAGCTGGCTTCATGATCCTTCTTGACTTTGCCCGCCATCAGCACCCTGATGTATTTCTGGCTGATGTTTTTCTCTGCATGGGTGTGTTTACTTCTCCATGCCTAGGAGCTTTCTCCATCTCATTGTAAGCACTGAGATTTGCACTCTCCTACCACCTGACAATTGGCAAAACACTCTGGGAAGCTTCTGCTTTCCAGCCATGAAAGGAAATGTGCATGTGCAGAAGGCCCACTCTTTGACCTACTGTCCAAGGTTCTGAGTGCACGGGCTGATTGCCAGATACTAGGGTAATATGGAAATATTGAGGCACCAAAATGCTCTCCATTCACGGCTAGAGACATTTAAAGTGATATCTGATATTTTTGGTATGAAAATCCCATTCTTCATATTACATGGGGAAAGTCAAAAAACAAAGAACCTCTAAGTGTCCCTCTTTGGGTATTAAAAACTGGTTGACAATAAGAGCATCATGACTTGTTGCCTAATATGTTTTCAGTGTCATGTGTCACTGAGGGTAGGGGCTTAGGAATGCAATTTGAAAAGGCAGTGATTGGTATTTTCTTGGCAGAAAGATCATGTATGCCTTATATCACAGCCATTATAGAGGGAAAGATTGTCACGAGCTTGGGTAAAATGAACTACCAGACTCTTCTGTTACACTGTGTGGAAGAGAGTCTGACAGAGCCAAGGGGCCTAAAGGAAGTGATTTAAGATAGCACTTGTTTTTTCAAATCATTTCCACCTCTTTTTATTTTATTTATTTATTTTTTTGGTGAGGAAGATTCGCCCTGAGCTAACACCCATTGCCAATCCTCCTTTTTTTTTGGCTTGAGGAAGATTAGCCCTCAGCTAGCATCTGTGCCAGCCTTCCTGTACTTTGTGGGATGCCTCCACAGCATGGCTAATGAGTGGAGTAGGTCTACACCTTGGATCCGAACACGTGAGACCCGGGCCACCAAAGCACAGCATACGGAACTTTAACCACTCAGCCATGGGGCCGGCCTCATTTCCACCTCTTTTGAAGTGTTATTATTTCTCACTGTATTTTTTAGCTTCCTATAATTTCTTTCCACTGGCAGCGAACTTGTTGCATGCCATTTTCTCAGACAATCTCTAACAAGAGACACTTTCTCAGTCATTATTTTGTGCATCAGAATGATTCTCTTATAAATGTAGTCATGTGACCTCAACAAGATCAGAGTTATTATAGTGAGTACCCGCTGTGGTGAATATGATTATTGATCTGTAAGTATCTACATGCTTCTGTGTAGAGAAGAGTATAACAACGACTAGAAATATATCTCATTCTTCGTCACCATGCGTAGATAGCCATTACCAGCTATACCTGGTGTGTGAGTGTAATAGCCAAAGAAGTAGACTTCTTAAGCTTCCAATTTTTATTTCACGATTTTTGTATCTTCTATGCAAGGGTGTGCTTTAGTTTTTATTTCAATTTTTTTGTTTCAAAATTTTATTGTCAGAGATTCTCTTTTCTGATGCTTTTCTTGCACATGATCACTGAATGGGGAGTAGGAATGTGTGTAAGCTTCTCAAACAGACCTCGAATTTCCTCTCTCTGGGGACTTTCACGTGTAATATATTGAATAACACTGTACTTTAACAATCCAGCTATAGAAATGATTATATTCTAATCATTTTAAGAAAATACCAGTTTTTCAGAGCGTTCTCAGATGATTTCACTCCATGAACAAAAATTATACCCTTGCTTTTGAAGATAGTCCTTTTTCCAGTATAAACTTTAGAACTGGTGATACAGGCATTGAAGCTCAGAAACCGGACCAGGAAATAAGTCGACAAGAATAATGACTTCATTACGTAGATTTTCAAATTTTGGTTTCTTCAGTGAAGCTGACTTAGTTCATATTATCAAGGAGGTATTATTTGATTTGGAGCAATGTTTAATCTCTTTCGCATTTAGAATGTCCCGATTCTGTAAGTCCCCTCTTATGTTAAATCCATCCAGGTGCAAATTCTATTCACCCTTCAAGGTCCGGCTATTAAGATACTTCTTATCTTAAAAGCTGGCCCTACCCTACACCCCACCCACCACCTTCCACCCCCAAAAGGAAATTGTCTCCACCCTCCGCTTTAAACTCCTAATCTGTCATAAATATCTTTCTTCTTTATGCCTACAGGTAGTTATTTGTATAGATGTATTATTTCTAGTATTAGAATGTGAGCTTACTGTTCTAATACCTAACGGCACAGGAGGGTGTTTATCATCACACTCCCCACAGCACAGCACAGTTTTGTACGTGTTGGATACATTTTATGTAAATGAATGGCTTATGTAGCGAACAGGCTTTTTATTATTTATTTTTTGTTTTGCTCTCCACATGCCATGCTGGCGCCATATTAAGGCTGCATACATAGTGCAGTAAAGCTCCAGGGCTAGGAATCAGGAGACCTGAATTCTAGTCCCAGCTCTGCCGCTTACCTGACCTCCCACAAATCACCGAACCTCTGAGGCCTACACGTACGTCCTCACCTCAGAAACGAGGGTGTTGTGTTGTATCATCTGGCAGGCTTCTTCCAGCTCCGAAACTCACCGGTGGGGCTATCTATCATGGAGAGTGGCGAGGCAGTCTCTTTTATTTTCTCTGTGTATCTCAGATATTATTCAGAATCCACCACAGCATGAATACAGATGTGGTCTGTCAGTGTGACAAAGACTGCTCTCGAGAGGAAATTACTGGGTTTGACAGCTATCCAACCCTGGGTTTAGTTTTTGAGATGTCACTGTAACAAGCATTATGGCCAATGTATCCAATTCCTCATCTACATATATGGGTGAATACGCTGTTCTTGCTGTAATAGCATGAGAGCTATTTTTCTTTTAATCCAGCTGTCATATAAGAAACTGCTGCCATGGTTTCTTTCTTATGACCGAATGTTGCTAACCCTTTCAGTCATCCTCGAAGTTCTTAATAGCCGCACATCATGAATGTATTCATGCCATTTTCCTTTATGGAAAAAGGAGTCGATTTCTTATGTTTTTCTTTTGTAGTGGATAGCTAACTTCTGGGTGAAATTTTTGATACTACTATGTGTTATGTTTATAAAATAAGAAGAACTTGTACTTAATAAATTTGTATTTTATATGAGATATTTAAATTAACATTCTTTTAAGATGTCACAAAAAAATAGGCTCGGAATTAAGAGTTACACTTCAAAGTTTTGGTTTTCCTCCTTACGTGGGGCCTAAAATCAGGATTAAAAATTTCTAATGCTCTTGTTTTTATCGTCTGTGACATACTGATCTAGAGTTTGCTATCTCATGTCTAGCCATCTTGTTTACCTACCACCTACCCACTCATTCTCCTCCATCAGCCTACCTTGACTAGAATCATCCTTGTCAGTCAAAGAGTGCTCCAAAGACCAGTAGCATCAGCATCAGGGAGCTTGTTAGCAATGCCTAATTTCAGGCCTCACTCCAAACATACTGAATTAAATGTGTTTACTTTAATATGATCCCTGGGTGATCTATATGCATATTAAAGTTTGAAAATCACTAGTCTACCCTTCTAGTTAAATTTTGGATAATGAGAGTAAATTAGTGTAACTTTTTTTCCCCATGTAATAAGCATAATTTTATTTTCTTTTTTATTGAAGTATAGTTGACATACAACATTATGTTAGTTTCAGGTGTACAACAAAGTGATTTGACATTTACATACAGTATGAAATGATCACCATGATCAGTCTAGTAACCGTCTGTCACCATACAAAGTTATTACAGTGTTATTGACTACATTCCTTGTGCAGTACATTACATACCCATGACTTTTTAAAATAAAATTAGCATTACCTTTTCAAGTTGCTTCTTGACTTCAGTCCCTTTTCATTGCATGCCAGATAATGTCTAGATTCCTTAGCCTAACATGCAAGGCCCTTACACAGACGCGGAGACCTGGCATGCCTTTTTAGCATATCTCCCACCATTTCCCAAATCAAAAATTCTACTCCACTCTGATCTACTTGCTCTATACTCATCTTATCTCATTTCTCTTCTAGCGTTTTTGCTCATGCCAGGTTCACTGACCTCTCTTCTCTTCTTCCAATTTCTCCATCCACATCTCTAAGGGTAATCGTTTCTCAGGGCTTAGCTGAACTCTCTCTTCTGTGTAGCCTTCCCTGATCACTCCAGCCCACAAATGTGTCTCTTCCTTAGAATTCCTGTAGCACTTGCCACATCAATGCATCTAATGATAGTAACCACAATAACACTGGCACCTAACATTTACCGTGTATTTACCGTATACCAGACACTGTGCTGAAGGAATCCTCATAGGAAACTCATGGGTTAGGTTCTGTCTGTCCCCATTGTACACATGAGGAAAAAGCTTAGGAGGTCAAAGGACTTGACACTACTGACTAGTGAGTCATGGAACCAAGATTCAAACCCAGGCAGGCTGATTTCTGAACTTGGCAGTTCAGAATCGCGGTTATATTCCCTTCTCACTTCCTTTAAGAGTATGAGCGCCCTGAGGGTAGGAACCCTGCCTTTGTATCCCCATGATGCCTAGCTTGAACACGAGGAAGCAGGGCGTAGCTCTAACTAGACAGGTTCTTGATAAACCAGTTACATAATTAGAGAGATTTTCCCTGTTCTTATGAGTTGGTTTGGTTTGGATATGGTTATATTTGAGATTTCATTTGATTATCTGCAACATAAACAAAAGGAACTATTTACAAAAACATACAAAAGGAAGCTGATGCAGCATTTTATCCAATGAAATGGTGGCAGGCGTTCTAGTTCAGGTTGCTTTGATAGGAGCCCAGTTGTTATGCGTGTTGCCTTTGGAATTATACCACAAAAGCAAAATATGGTGCCAAATAAACTGTAAAAGCAAAAAATATTTAAAATTAATAAATGGGGTTTTACAATTTTGACGGGAGTGGGAGTGCTACGTTGAATTCATGTCTTCATTCATGAATTCAATCTCTTTATAAGGCAGGATTATACTTTGATTTACTTGCAAGACCCTTTTAATCAGTTGCTGTGAGTTCAGCCTTGTGTTTTATCCTTTCCAGCTTGCCCACATTGTCTGCTTATCTTCCCTCCTTGGTTGCAACCTGCCGCTGGAGAAAATCAGGGCAAAGTCGTAATTAAATGCACTACAGACTTCGTCTGGTGCCTCTTAGTTCCTACGCTTTCCCTCACCTCTGCCTGTCCGAGTTCCTAAGCCGACCCCGAGAGACATGGGACGGGCACTAATACTAACAACCTTTACCATGCCCCCACTCCCCTCTCCTGCCTATCACTCACCTCTACCCCACTCCCACCCATGGGACTTAGACTTTTACGATCCCAGAAACAGTTACTGGTGGCTAGACATGGCTGCTGGACTCTCATGTTGGCCCCTGTTGTCCTTTTTCCTCCCCCTGCTGTATCCTCCACATCCCTCCACCTCTGTTCGTCTTAACTGACAGTAAGCCCCAAGAGTGTTTACACACTTCTCCCTCCTTATCTTCACTTACAACCCAGGCTACAGGCCGAGGCTTTGTCCCAGACCCCCGCCTTGGTTCTGATCTGTCGACAGTCCTGTACTACAGGGCTGCGCTCTTGAGTGGGCTCTGGCACTTGGACCTGCTCCTTGCCAATCTGCAACCTGGAGTGAGCTTACCACTTGCCTTCTTTCCACACTGCATCTGCCTCCTCCCCAAAACACGCACACCACGATCAACCAACTTCCCTCCCGTCTCCCATCAAGTGTAATGTCTGAGAGATCGCTGACCTCTGTATCCACCTTCCTGGGTCCTTCTGCTTAGATCC